CCACTTGCTACTAAGAATGTCACTTCTTACTCTTATTCTTTTGCTTCACACAAAATGTAGAACATTCYTAATTTCTGATTGCTCTGGGACCTCTGTTCTTCTGATGGTTATGGAGKATAAAGTTAAGAACCTCCTACAGTTCAGGTCTTTACTGTGTGATTTTTTTCACCTGCTCATCAACAGAATGTTAACAAAAATCTGAGTCCTGCGTCCTTGTGAATTKTTGCTGAAGTGTGCATCCAAGACATTTGTATTTGATTTAATGTACTGTATTTTTAAATGATCAAGGTAACAAAACATGGTCAGGGTTACCAAATATCATCAGAGATGTATAAGAATAGAAGGAAAAGCTTTTTAAGGAGTGCTGACTCTACAAAAACACTTATCTATACAAGGTGTATATAAAGCACTTTGTCCTGGAGTGTTTTAGTGGTAAGCTTGTCAGTGTTTTTTTAAGTCATTGAGGGAAAATAAAGAATAGATGTATTGAATAAAAAGAAGAGTTCACTAATAACATTAGCAAAGAGTTTTGAAGGTACTGAATTGAAGAACATTCTCGCCAAAAGAATCTCCTCTGTTGCCAAGTAATTTCTGCTAATAATCCATTAAATAAACTGCAGAGGTTTAGAAAATTTTCAGTTTAGRAAACTACTTATAGTCAGTAAAGTTTTATCCTCTCTGATAATGTTTTGGAGGGTGACTTGGCGTGTTGTCTCTTTACAAAACTCCTTCCATGTTCAATACGATGCTTTTTTCCCATTAGACCCTTTTTTTACAAGCCCTTCAGCTGCCACCAGGACAGACTGGCAGCATAGCCTATGCTCAGCAGTGAAGCACAGTTGCTCTTTAGCAGAGGTTGTTTTTTGGTTCATACGTTGACTTCTTGCCATAATCCAGTACAAGGGTACTTTTGCCCAGTTATGAAAAATTTATCTATAACTAGCAGTTAATKCTTCGTTTTTATTTCAGTTTGTTATGTAGCTTTAGAATTGTTTCCTTTAGAATTCCTTTAGAATTGTTTCCTTTTGTTATGCTGTTTTCTGAAGCTGCTGGAGCTTCTGCTGCTCCTGATGAGACTCAGGTCAGGTATTGTTCTCACCAAAGCCTCAGGATTTGTCTGATGCTTACCAACTGTGAACCTGATTGTGTTGATTGTTAATGATGATTTAGGAGCATTAAGCTGGTGTTTATGTGAAGTTGCTTYAAGAAGTCTCTGGAGCCAGGTTTTCTCATCCTGAATTGAAATTTTTCAGCTTACAAGCAGGCTGTTAGTTAGGTTTTTTTCAGTGGCCACTGAGGAAGAGGTAACTGACAACTGTTGCTGAGGATGTGTGGTTTGGAGTCCATCAGATTGTTAAATTCAGTGTGTATTCCTTCCTTATCTATTATCAAACACCTCTTTCTAATGCAGAACAAGCTGCTGAGTGTCAGTCTAGACTGAGGTTTGGGTCAGTTGTTGTGTTGGACCTGTTGGAGACCAAGCCTCTGTGTAACCTGAAGCTGTTTGATCTGCAGTCCTTTAAATGAAACGTTTCTCAGGGTTTGGTCTATGTTCCTCATGCTTCCCATGAGGCTTGTGGGAATGTTTAAATTCTAATTTGTTATGTAGAATTTGAAAAAAAAATTGAGAAGACTATATAAAATAAGTTGCTATGGGTTATAAAGTAAGATCAGCTATATWTGTATTATACATTATGCACTTCCTTCTTTGTTGTTGGTTTCATTGACTTTTTTTTTTGCCAGTTTAGATTGATGGCTGCCTAATTTTTAGGCTCTTGCTGTTCCTGATAGAAATTCKTTGTTTTTGTGGATTTAAAGGGAAGAAGACAAAAAAGGCAGGGAAAAAAAAAAAAGCTGAATGTTCATATTGTAAGATTTTCTTTAAGTGTTACAATTTTTTTTGAGCAGATATTGTTAAGAACTCATGTTCTTAAGCAGATCCTGAAAAGCTGTTCAAGAAAGTTCAAGCTGRCTCTGCTTATATTTTTTAAATAAAAAGAACCCTGGTCATTTCTCTTYTGAGAATTAGGAAAGATTGAGAAGATTGGCTATTGAAAAAGTGAATACATGAGTTGAGTGAAAACAGCCATGGTGGCAGGGATTTGTAGCTAATGTAGATTGCATTTGCCCATTGGAATTTGTTGGGGTGTTTTGAACAATTGAAGTTTCCTTTAAAAGTTTTTAAACTGCTTTTTTAGTGATTTCCCTTATCACAAGATAGACATTTTATTGTGTGTGTAGGAGGGAAGGGAATAGTTCTGTCATTATTTAAGGGAGAGGTTAAATGTTTAGATAAGAATCTGATCTAAACATCACAACACTTTAGAAGTTGTTAGTCTGTTTTTATATGTGTATTCCTAATTAGGACTGAAGGATCTGGTGGGATTCAAGCCATACTCTCCCTTTTCAAGGGTGGTAAGGCTGGGTGGCCCAGGTTTTTTGATTTAAAATCTGAGATGACTTTATGAGAAAGATGGAAAGCCCCTGGTAATTCGATCTTCTCTTTTTTTTTTCTGAAACAAATCACGTGATGGTTTATGCTAACAGATGTTCCCATTTCTTGTCTTCTCTTACTAAATCTTGCATCTTACCCAGCCTTGCATCATGTCTTAGGTAATGGGCTTGGGACTTGCACTGAATATACTCAGAWAACACTGTCATTCTCAGTCTGAGCCTTTGGGTGCTGCAGTAGTGCAGATACTGAAATTACACATTTCTGTGATAATTGTGCACCAAACTATGCTGCACTTTTCCTTGTTAGTCTGGCTGTTTTCTTTTGTTCACTTGTATGACTTTGAACCCYAACTGATACTAAGTGTCACGTAGCAATGAAGGTTATTTACCATCCACCTTAYATAGATAAGCTGTGCTGGCAAGCCAATGGCAACTCATGATGTTTTCTTCTGCCAAGGTGGATGTTCTGTTAAAGCAGAGCTCRGCAGTGGCCTTTGAGAATAATATGTCACTGCCCCCAAACAGAAATGCTTAGGRGAAAATGTCTGAAACTTTTATCTCCTGAACTCAGAGTAGGTTATCATTGTTGACTYTGTTTTGGCTGACTGTGGATAATGTTTCAGGTTATGGCCTGATGTGGTATTTTTGTTTGTTTGTTCTTATTCCTATAGGCTCTGTGTTACAGACCAAAAGAGTCATAATGAGGTTTTTAAAGTCTGGTCTGTTTTCTAAGTAAAGGAGAAAATGGAGCTGCTCTTCATCACTCCAGTTCATCATGGTCTGGATTTTTRCTGTTGAATTGACTTGGCAATTTAACGCTTCTTGAAATACAAAATGCTGGAGTATAGTATAGGGAGATTGTAATACAAATTTGTTCAGTTCTGCTTTAAAAAAACAAACATTAAAGGCAGCATCTTCCAGACGGCTCAGATCAGCTCTGCTCTTTAAGAGAACACTTCKGCAAGTCTGTAATTTCTGGAGTTAAGGTATTCCAAGCTGGAACAGTGTTTCAGATGTCAGTGTTTGAATTGTAAATAATGTTTGGGACTGCCTGGCATGCTGTCATTCGTGTACCTCCACAAACACACTCTGTAGCTGTGCATAGTGAAGTTCTTAGGAAAAGTGAAACTGTTGGCATAATCAAAATAGTCGTGTTAGCTAGTCAAATGGAGAGAAGTTCTTCTGTTCTATTTTTGTCAGACTGCTTTTAACTTTAAAAAGCAGTAACTTCTGGAGGTGTTTTTTTAGACCTGCTGAATAAAGGGTGTGCAATCTGCAAGAAGCCAAACGCGTGATCCAGCGTATTTGAATCTCAACAGCAGTTAAGTGAGCACCAGGACTATGCCCAGACATGAAGCTTTCAGACTAATGAGTGCCCTAGCAGGCAGGTGGATTTCTGTTTGAGGCTGTTTTGTGTTTGAACTTCATAACATTTAATTCTTGCTATAACTGCAAACACRAATTAAGACTCAGGTGTGAAATTTATGGCAGCATTATTGGAGTATAGACAYGGGGTTAACATTTGGATGAGGCAGATTGTTGGGGTTTGCTTCAGAGGTGTTAGGTTATTGTGTTGGTGATCAACAGAACTGAAGGCATTTTGGGTTGTGTGCAGGGGAACAGTAAAATGATGAAATTGGGGCTTGACAGCTGCATTGCGAAAGTCAGCTTGCTCTGGCATAATATTTGCTGTCTGTATAGGATTGAGATTAAGCTCTGAAGCACTGAGCTTTGTGTACCTGAAATTTAGGATGGTGAAAACTCTGCTGTTTTGTGAACTACAGAAGTGCCAAGGAAAAGTATATACTWGAGGTTTCAGAAGTTAAGTGACTGGGGAAAAAAATGGGATGAGCAAGGAAGATTGTTCCTTGTGGAATCTGCACCAGCAAGAAATTAGACACATTTACRACATACAAGTAAACATATGGGGACCAAATTTTCAAAACCCCTCAGCTGCCACTTAATGCCAGGACAACACTGTGGCCTTTTTTGAAGTTTTTTTTACTATAGAGGCTGACATATTTAAAAAAAAACAACACTATGGAAACAAACTTGTAAGCCAATCTTAATGAGTGCTAACTGAGAATGGATTAAATRATTTGAGGGCTGAATGCTGTTGAAAGCGTGGTGCCTCTGTTAAAAATGTTCTGTATTTCATTATTATAGATTGTCATGAACAATGACTTGTCAAATGGGGAAAACCCCCACCTCTGAAATATCCTGTAAAAACAGTGGTTAAGAGCAACTGTATGCAAGGGCTTTAAAAGTTTTCCTAATTTCACTGCTAAGCACAGTTATTAATTAAGCATTTTCTTGACATTAAACATAATTTATAAGGATTTGAGTACATAAAGCATTTGAGATTTATGTTTCTGTCAAGTGTGAGTGTTTCACTCGCGTTTGTCTGATGGGTTAACAGAGCTACATTTTGGATTGGGTTTTTCTGGGCTGTTTGGCTTGGGTTTTGTCATCTTTTTCTTGCAAGTAAAGCATGTGGTTTGGGGAAGAGAAAAACTCAAAGCTTGAATTCTTCTCTTTCCTACAGGTTCAGGTGCAAGTCCATCCCAAACTTTCCTCTACTGAAGATGCGTTGCAGTATGTGGAGGAGTTAATTCTTCAGTTGTTAAATATGTTGTGTCAAGCTCAACCAAGAAGTTTTCTGGATGTAGAGGTATAGAGAACACTTATTACAAATCTTATTACAAATAATTTGAACTATTACATGAAAGCTACTCTATGAATAATTTCACAATGCAAAAAAGAAAGCAGTAATTATGTATCTTTATGCAGCAGAGCCTTCTGCATAAAGCCTGCTGAGTTCCCTAATAGCTCATTTTCCTATCAATTGAGTTTGTTGTTCAGTGCACACCAAAACTATCTGTGAGCTGTATTGCTATTTAATAGATGGTGTGTGTAAATTTTGTACGTGAAGCTGACTGGTTTCTTTCAAAAGACCCTCTTTCTTCACTGATACTGTATGCAAACTCCAGCTGCTTAGTCTGAGGCTCTGTGCTGTTTTCTCAGCATGGTAATTTAGGCTGATATACTCCCTGCTGTCCCAGAAATTCGAACAAAAATAGTTCAGTCACTTTTTCAGAATGAGTTTAGGAACACTTCTTTCCTCTATACAGAGACCTCATCTCTTACCATTGCATTTTCAAAGATCTACAACCTCTGCTGCTCAGCACAAATGTTTAAGAAGAGAGGTTGGTCTGGAGGTTTTTTTAATCTGAGGAACCATATTAGTTAGGCTGTTTCACTTAAGCTTGTAGGACCATGAATACCTTGRTAGCACTTTTTGCTTAACTGTGATTTGAAAACTTTGGTGCCAAGCTACAGACTCTGTGCTCTGTGCTTTTGCTTTCCAATGCTTGGGGCCAAGGCCTGGGCCAGGTCACTTCCTCACGTTCTGAAAAAAGTGGACTAATGGCAAATAAAACCTTTTTTTGATGAAAAACCCTTAAAAATATGGCTGTGTTAGAGATCAAGAGTCATGAATTTCATCCTTCCTCTTCCCTTTTGAACACTGACATCTCCAGTGGTGTTCCAGTGTCCTCTTTAATGGCTGGCCATTTTTGCAACATCATTCTGGTCTGGCAGCTCAAGAGACAGGAGGTTTGTGGAAGGTTGTTTAATGCTRTTTTAAACAGCACTGACAAAAAACTTGACACGAAGTGCTGTATTTTGAGTCTTTACACTGTGAAGACAGAAGAAGTGCCAGAATTAGAGATGATCAAGCAACAACCATTTACCCCCTTGGTGTTCATGCACAATGATGCTGTCTTTAATTATATGGTCAAACACATTCCTTTTTCCTCAGCACACCTTCACCATTCAGTGAACAGACTGAACCATGGTAGGGATGTGAATTGGTATTAGTGAATCAGACTTTTTGGTTTTTTTTTGGTAGGACCTCTGCTTTCCTTTTGCCCCTTTATGAGGGGAAAAAAAAACCCCAGGTGCACTTTGGAAGGTTGGGTTTTGCTTTTATAGAGTACTATTCTGTCACTTTTTTTTTTTGTTAGAAAGTTTTTGTTTGTGTACTTTTTCCTGTACCATCTCTTTGTAAGTGGTCATTAACTTCATCTTCCTCATTTCATGGTTACTCAAACAGGAGCCATATTTACGTAAGTGAGCACTTGCAACTGAAACAGTCAGTGGGAAGTGTGGTCTGAAAAAAATAAAATGTGAAGTTATCTGAGAAAATAAATTTCTGACATCTGTTGAATGGGCTACAGAAAAAAAAGTCTGGCACTCTGACTACTGGAAGGAATAAAAAAATGGGGGCACGTCTGGTCCACCTGTAGACTGAAACTGTTTTAGGATATGTGTGTGCTGTTGGACATTTTCTTTTCCTTTTATRTTCATTGTTATCATCAGAGCAGTTTGCATGTGTACAGACTGGACCAGAAAAGGTAAAAAAGCTTGTTACAATTTCCTTCAGGGACCATCCTGTACAGGGAATAAAGTGCTAGGAGAAAATGTTGTCAGGTATTTATTGGTGAGTTACCAGGCATGTGCACAAGAGGAGCAAACTGTGCCTTCAATGGCTGCTTATTTCTGCCATTTCTTAAATTTTGCACGAGATAATTCTCTGATAATRATACTCTGAAACAACCTTCTGGATGTAGTGAGCAACATGTACCAAAATGATAACATTTACACGTTTTGTATAAGCTTTTGTACAATATTGAAATACAGGTATTAACAATCATTTTTTTGTTAAGTAATAGAAAGCAATTTGATAACACAGTTACATAGCTGAGATCATTCAGATGATTCATTCACCCCTTGGTCATGGTTTTTTTTTCCTTAAGGATCGTGTTCAAAAAAGTTTTCCCCATCCTATTGATAAGTGGGCAATAGCTGATGCCCAGTCTGCTATTGAGAAGAGGAAACGAAGGAATCCGTTATCTCTTCCAGTAGAAAAAATCCATCCCTTGTTAAAGGTAAGCAGAGATGGAATCTTCCTTTCAGAATCYARTTASAKGTCAGCCCYTTTGTTTCATGTAAAATTTGTGTGCTCCCTGAATTGTAAACTAAAAGRATWAGSARTATMYRTGTTTGTTACRTAGTTGTGAGTGTTCCAGTTAATGGAATGTATTTATTTTTCAGTTACGAATCAGTCAATTCTATTTTGGACAAACAAGGCCAAGAACCCATTTGTTACAAGTTTGATTGTTCATGTTTAATTTTACAGTACTAAGAAAACACTCAAGAAACTCATAGAAATAGCCCTAAATGTTTAATTGAGGTTTTTTGGGCTGTTAGTTGGCTCTTGGTACTTCCACATTTAATAGAGCAGCATTTCCAATGGCACTGTTTCTTCTGCAGGTCTACACATTCCAGTGTTTTTATTCTTAAAATAAGCTGTGGATATGTGACGAATCTTTATTGAGCAGGGTTTTACTTAATCTTACTAGTTTGARTTGTAAACTGTGGTGTCTGTTTCATCAACTGAGTAACAGTGGAATGCTCTTTTTTTTTCCTTTTTTTTTCCCTTTCAGGAAGTTCTAGGCTACAAAATTGACCACCAAGTGTCTGTTTACATAGTAGCAGTATTAGAATACATTTCTGCAGACATCTTAAAATTGGTTGGGAATTATGTGCGGAATATAAGACATTATGAGATTACAAAACAAGATATTAAAGTAGCAATGTGTGCTGATAAGGTAAGCCTAACTYTGGTTTGTCATGTTAACAAAACAACTAAAGCTGTAGTTAAATTTTGAGAGGACARAAYTTACATGGAATGTTGTACCTTTCAWAATAAAAATTAGTGTTATAAAATATGGTTCCAGTGATAGAACAAAACTACCAGAAAGCTAACTGARCTTACAGAGCTCTTGCTTGGGCCTATTAATAGTTAAGTCTCTCTTCTTCTTGATTGCACTTGCCTAATCTCAGCAATGTGTGAMTACATTAAAAATTACTGTGAAGCACCACTAATTTAAGACTATTGCATATCAAAATTAATGTTTCAATGATTAAAATAAAAASCCCATCTCCTTTGCATCTCAGCCTAATTCTTCTTAGTACTGAGACATGGGCMTGGTGAATACAGCCTGGAATCTCCTAGCAGTGTGCTAGAGCTGTGCCTGTGAAGGAAAATTAGAAATGATGAGGCCTCTTTGAATATTTAGATTATTCCATGTAATTCCTACAGTAGTGATGCTGTAATGTCCCATTCCCCAGAATTTGTTAGGGTTCTCATTTTAACCTGAGTTCTGTGTACAGTCAKTGACTTTGAAACATGAATCACCTTCTGTTCTTAGAGCTTCACAAGTCAGGCTTAATGCACTGTGYCCTGCATTGTTCTGCTTTTAGAGAGTCATTGTAATGACTCCTKGCTCACAAACCACACTTGGAAGAARTGTTTATCTTGAGAAACTTAGATTGTGCACTGCTGATTCAGAGCAATAGAATACAGAGCTAAATGCTAATTGTTTTGGTGTACTTCACCTTTCAAAATTGTAATTGATTTTTMGGACCACATTCCTGGAGAGATGCCTGGATTGGTCTAAGTGACTGGGAGTCTTCAGAAATTGCCACTGCAAATAATGACTTGCAAATTCATAGCAATGGATACTGCTTTTGTAATGCCCATCTGGTTACAGAATGATAATACATAGATTTTACTGCTGATCAGTCTGATTTCATGGRAAYTGTAGATTTTCTTTATTGGTAAAACACTGGTGAATCWTGAAAAGCAGTTCTCACTTTGTGGATTCCCTCTCTTTGCTGCCCAGGTATTAATGGATATGTTCCATCAAGATGTAGAAGATTTAAGTGCACTAACTTTATCTGATGAAGAACCCTCCACCTCAGGGGAGCAAACCTATTATGACCTAGTGAAGTCATTTATGGCAGAAGTCCGACAATATATAAGGGAAYTGAATCTCATTATCAGAGTTTTTAGAGAGCCATATGCCTCCAACTCCAAACTGTTTTCATCTCATGTAAGTATTGTACAAATCACACACAGAAAATGCACCTAGTATAATAAATACRAATAGAAATTGATACTTCTGGAACTTAACTGTTGTTGAGTTTAATATATTAGTAGTAGAGAAAACACTTTCCTTGAGTTCTGAAATGAGAATAGTAAAACAACACTTGCAGGTTTTGTAGGACTGTGGAAGAAACCTTCCCATTTACTTACATTCACCTACAGGCCTGTAATTTTAAAATTTATCACTGTTTTTTTTTGCCATATTTGAGTAATTGTATTTTTTTTATATATTTCATTATTTTTAAAATACATTTAATGATCTTACATAAATCACAGAAAATGTGCATTATAAAATAATTGTAAAATCTTGTTCTATATAAGGAAGTTCTTGACTTTCACAGAGTAGCTTTGCACATTTGACTTTTGTTGMATCTTTGCAGGATGTGGAAAATATATTTAGTCGTATATCAGACATTCATGAACTTAGTGTGAAGTTACTGGGTCATATAGAGGACACTGTTGAAATGACAGATGAAGGCAGTCCTCACCCACTAGTAGGCAGCTGTTTTGAAGATATGGCAGAGGTAAGACAATACTTGGTTGGGTTTTTGGGAGGCTTTTTTGCTATTCAGATGTATTTTAATACTTGCAATTGGATCTCTGTTCTGCCTTTGTTCACCTCAAGATCTCTTCTTCCAATCCCACCATGATAAAGAGATAGTCCATTTTTGAGAGTGCTCTTTTTAGTCCCAAAATATTGGCTTTTAGAGTTTAAAACTGTTCAAAGTTGAGAGAGCAGAGGTGAAAAAACAACACTGATGATGAGACTCTGAGCATCCTCAGCCTGTTTTGATGGACCTATCTTTGGCCCTGAGGTGGGCACTGCTTTGAGCAAGAAATAAGTCCACTTGACTCCCAGAGATCTCTTTTAGACTGATTTAATCTGTGAGTCTGTGCACGTAAAAGTATTGATTCTATAGATGCTTTAGAAAAAGTRTGGAGAAAAATCTCTCCTATGTAGGATATTTATTTTCTTTAAGAAATGCAGAAGTTTAACTGTTTTGTAAACTGATGGTGTCCCTGCCCATGGCAGGAGGGTTGGAGCTGGATGATCCTTTAAGGTCCCTTCTAACCCAAGCCATTCTGTGATTTTGTGGTTGTAAAATTATTTTCTCTCTTTTCTTAGGAGCTAGCATTTGATCCATATGAATCATATGCACAAGATATTCTGCGACCTGGGTTTCATGATCATTTTCTAAGCCAATTATCAAAGCCAGGAGCAGCATTTTATTTACAGGTAATTTGCCTCTAAATAAGACATATTGTTGATATTACTATTTTAATTTCATTATATTGTTGCTTCAATACATGTATTGTTTTAAGACTGAAACTTATTTTGTTTTTAGTCAATAGGTGAAGGCTTTAAAGAAGCTGTTCAGTATGTTCTACCCCGGCTGCTCCTTGCCCCTGTTTACCACTGTCTTCATTATTTTGAACTGCTAAAAGTAAGAATATTGTGCAATCTGATGTGTTTAGTTTTGGTTTGGGTTTTTTTCGTGGTTCTCAGTGTTAGGTACCAGCGCTATGGGTGCTCAGTTAAGTGTAAAATCTTCTGCTARAATGTGAATGATAAAACTGCAATGTTGAGAGAAAAGTAGGTTATGAGTTCAGCAGGTTCATGCTATAATTAACTGAATATCAGCTGCTAATGACTTCTGTTGAGCAATCTATCAGTCTAGAAAGCAATAATGATCTACACACTCACATTCCTGGAATGGTTGTTTTCATCAGTGTTAGGAGATGATGGCACTTGGCTGTATTGCAGAAAATGTCCAAGCCTTTCTCAAGATGTTACTTTGTAAATCTGAAATCACAGTAAGATTTCCCCTTCAGATTAATTTTATTTTTATGAAAGCTTCAGTGTTCTTGCAGTGCACATCACATGGGGTTGTAAAGGTGGTATCTTTCCTTCAAAGAGAAGGTTTGGTTAATATTTACACTTGGGCTATTTCTAAYTAGACCTTGCCTTGATAGGGCAACAGTAACATACACATATGAACAGAATGTTTTTCTGGGGCACKTATCAGTATTGAATAGTGATCTTTAAGGGGTGTAAAGCATTTTGAGAAAACTTTCCAGTAGAATCTGCTTTTGTCCTTAATGGAAATTCATAAGGCATGCAGTGTTCCAAACAGCTACTTACAGAAATTTGGATCAGAAGTTAAAAACAAAACAAACCAAAAACCAAAACAATTTTAAAGAAACCTCTGTATGTTGAATGTTTGATTGGTTTTCTTTGGGTAAGCCAGTAGTTRGCTTGTCTTTGAGCTAAGTGTCTACAGTTGTAATTCCATTTTTATTGGTTTAGATCTACATGTTCACATTTGGMATGTAACTCGTATAACACGCTTTTTGAAAGATTTTGGGATGTGTGTGCTTTGTTTGTTTTTCTCATTCATGGGTTTGGTCTGACTTCAGATATCTTTGAAATATTGAGCATTTTGACAGTCCATTGGGAGGGGGGTTTGATACAGCTTGTTTGCATTTGTATGGGAAAGACTTGCACAAACACAAGGTTCCTCTGCTCCTGCTTTTATCACAGTCTCTGAATGGAGTACTGAAGGCTTTGCATACTTCTGGTTGAACATGGCATTGTCTTACCTAATGGACAAATGAAGGATTAATGTTTGACACACAGGCATTCTGCTTTGCTTATTGCCATTGGCAAATTTAGGGGGGAAAGGAGGGCATGTGTGCCTATGGAATGGGGAGCAGCTCGTGTTTGCCTTTTTTAGGGTAAATTTGAGTCTAAGCTAAGCCCCTCTCCAGGAGTTTATCAATCTTTTTGCAACCCATGACTTGTGCTTTATAAAAAATTCTTGTCTTTTCACATTCATTCTCTGCCCCCACACACAGAGCCCCTCTACCCTGTGTCAGTCTGGTATTGTTGGGCTGGATTTTATTCTGTATGTGATGAAATCCTCCCAGGTTTTCTTCCCACCATGTTGCTGATGTCACATTTAGTGAGACACCTGTCACTGTGGTTGGTCAGCACACACACATTATGACACAAAACAGGCAGTGGTGGATAATAGACACACATGAAGAGAGAGATATTATTTCTCACAGCAGCATCTTGAGCTGTCAGTGTGCACTCAGCATGTGAATCCCTGCCTCAAGTARTCTTTGCTACCAGTAACATTTTCTTCTTTATGTCTGGAATCTTGAAACAGATTCCAGCTTGATTTTATCTGATACAGAAGGATTTTGGTACAATTATTTAGCCATATCATCCTGACAGTCCCACTGATACAAGATTGTACTGAATTCTCTTGTGTGGTGAGAGGCATGATTTAGTGATTGCAGACATATCTGTGAATAATCAMGTTTTAAATGCTATGGAAAGGGATCTGTGGTGATGAAGAGACAAAATGTTGGCAAAGTAGCATATGGAAAAACATTTGCTTTCTCTTGAATATAGATATACTTAAGAGTATATATACTTGAATATAGATATACTTTATAGAGAGGTTAGCATTTATTTTTGAGCTGTTTAGTACAATGTTGTGTATTTTGAAGTTAYCTATTTAAAATGCATTTCAGTTACCTCGTAACTGTGCAGATTACAGAAAAAAAAGTAAATATCTATTCACTAAAGGCTATCCTGTTTAGAAACTAAAGCCCTCCTGAAGTTGAACAAGGCACCACAAATGCATATTCTATTTTTAGCTGAAGTTTCTTGCTGCTACATTGTTGGGAAATCAGCATAGGACTAAGAGCTGTGTYTTCCTTCAACCAACCTGAAAGTCCCCAAACTTTTATACAGAAATGATATAAAATAGTAGCTTTGTGTGAAACTTGACTTTTCTGTAGATGTTCAGATAATAAATGAGCTTTTCTAAATCAMAGAATCATGACTATGACCTTGAGTAATTGAAGAAAGAGGTTCACAAGACCTTTGAATTGAATTGGRCACTGTTTCAAGTGCTGTACATTTGTATGTGTGTATGATGCTCTTTCACTGGGTAAATGGATTACTTTAAAATTCTATTTTTTCCAARCAGAAATGCTTCAAATCATATATCAACTTTGCTTAGATAAAACAAGAAACAAGAGAAACTTGGTTCTCTGAGAAACAAGAGAACTTGGTAGGGTTTTTGTTTGGTTGGGTTTTTTTTTAAGACAAGTGCAAACTTGAGTTCCATGGCTTATGAATGGTAACTTGTTGTCTCTTTGCTAATATATTTTAGTTGGAATTCTACCTATGATGTTCTAAAAATCTCAGAATGCTTTCATCTCACAGCAGCATAAAGTGTGTTTTGGGTTGGTTTTTTTTTTCAAACTTTGTTCTTAGATGATAAGTAATTTTTCAGGCTTTCCTGACTGGCAGTTCAGCTCAAGTGGAAATACTCCTCAGTTAAAATGTTTTGTCATCTTCTTTCACCATGCTAACGGTGAAACAGTGCTAATGGTAAAACATAATAATTCTGGTTTGACAAGGTCTTTCAAGATGATAAACGCTCCTTTTCCCAACCTGATGGTATTAAATTTGTTGTATTTTACTGAAGAGGGCACAAGGCAGTAAAATGTTAGTTTAAAATAGTGTAGGACTGAAGTATCTTGAGCTTGATCTCTGAAGTTTTTGCTGTGTGTTGTATTGGGCAGTACATCCCAAACTATTTTGGGCTTTGATTTAATTTTGATTCTCAGCCTTGTTTCACAGTGCCATGTTSCAGAGTGTAACTAATTGAGTGAGTTGGGTTTGCAATCCCATCTGTAARTGATGTAACCCAGCCCAGGGTGGAGAATCAAAGCTTTAATTAGTTGAACTTTGTCAGTCTGCAAAGCTTTTACAATATCTGCAATTAYAGATCATTGTCTCACAGCACTGTCTGGACTGTTTGTCTTCAGTACAAGCACTGTGATTGAAAGGTTCTGTTGCTTTAGTCAACTCTCAAAGTATCCTTTAATTGCTGCTAAAACCAGTAAATCACAGATTTGAACTGGCTGTAAATTATTTTAAGAAAGTATTCACTTAATATCAGCAAAAGATTTTACTTTCCGAAATCACTTTTTCTTCAGTGCTACTTTCCAAATGCAGTAGCTTGTATGCACAACATAGTTCTGAAATAAAATTAAAAGCAGAAGTGTCACTGGTTTACATCTTCGTATATGTAACTGCAGATGTGGATAACTTATAAAATCCACTGATTTAATGGTCAATTTTAGGTCTCTGTGACAGATGAAAGTCTGTGTGTTGAAGGTCTGTATGTTGCCCAAATTGTTGCTAGTGTGTGATAAGGACTAAAAATGTGTTCAAGTGTTTGAGTGTTTTAGGGAGAAAAAGCTGGGGTGATGTAAAATTTGGTCTGAAATCTAAGAAGAAGTTTCCTAGAATATGACAGGAGGTGAAAAATTTAAGAAACTTTGTATTGTTAAGCTAAGAAGACTCGTATTAGAACTGGAAAGTTGTATAGGTACAGAAACTGTGTCAAATGGTAGAAGCTGGTGTTGCTACAGCCAGGTTAAATGAAGTTTTGTATTTATTTTTGCTTGCAGGGTTTCACTGACAATATTTATATTTCTTTCCTGCTTAAATGCTCATGGGTTTATGCCTTAAGTCAGTTSTGTGTTCATCAGCCAAAAGGGAGAAGTTGATAGGGGAAAATAAAACTTTGTCCCACATGTGTGTGTGCACTTTTCCCAGAAACTTGGTTATCATTAATCGAACTAATCAGTCCTTAATTTTCTTTATAACTGTGGCACTCATTGATGTATTTCTGTGTGTTTGTATCAGATAAATCTATGCACATGTGCATCACTTCATTTGTCAGTAGTTTGTGTCATCTGTGKGGAGTTGTAATGGGGCTGCCTGTTTTGCTTTATAGGTTTTTTTTCCTCATACACAGGATATATCTGGGCTTTTGAGAAGCAGATGTCTCTTTCCAGAAATTTTCTAATAATTTCTCATAACTTCCTTTCYTTTCTAAATASGTACCTCTGAGAATATTATTTCTAWTGGCYCTCTAAATTTGCTTTTCTGCAAAAACTGGATAAAATGTAACAAAAGTGAGAATAAAATATTCCTTGTGACACTTTGCCTGACATTCCTCAGTGACTCTTGAGCTGGACCTGTAACAGCAAATGCTGTACTCTGATCCCTGGAGGAGGAGTAGGATGTCACAGGACCAGACTTCTTTGGGAAGTCAAATGAAGCACAACCTGAACTCAAGACTTAGGACTTCACTTACGTRTTTAACTGTTTCATTGGGTTCCAAAGTCCTGTTTTCCAATCAATTTTCTAAAAACACCTGCATGGGAAATGCTCCATAGTCCTGTGGAAGTTAGAAGAGCTTTATTTTAATTGTTCTGTTCCCAATTTTCAGTGGCTGCTGTCCGTGATGGTAGAGAGCTCTTCAGCTTCCCTGGCAGCAGTTTCTGAACTTGTTGAACCCCCAAGGCCCAGCTGTCATGAAAATGAATGGGTGTTACAGGAATTTGCACA